AAAACAATTCCTTAAAGTACGAATTACTCGCTCAAATACTCATCCGTGACACACTCCATGTCTCTACCATTGATAATTTTGTCCAGTTTTATCTCAGGCTTCTTTTTTTCTTGTCCAGTTGTTCTTTAAAAATTCGAATTTTTAAGTGTATAATTTGATAAAAATGAATTTTTGATGTAACATTACACGTGCAATATAATGTACCTAAAAAAAACATGAAACTAAAGAAAAATCACTTTTTCGAAACGTTTAATTCAAATGTTAGAGTGATCAAGAAACAGTTCATTAAGTAGCAGAAGAAATATTTACAGACATAAAAGATTGACTACTGGTAAGAAGGTTCCTGACAAAGCCTTTTATACCCCTAGAGAAAATATTTTAAAGATTTAGTGAATACCGTTATTTGGTATACCTCACTCTAAACTTAGTAAAGTCAGAAAACAAAGGCTACGATGTTTTTGCGATATTCCTTCCAAGGAGTGGTAACGTTGAGTGGTGAAAATCGTAATATCAAAGATTAACTATTATCTCACTACAACTTTCATCCAATCCCGTAATTTAGTGATATCATATCTGATAATTAAATCATTGAAATTTCATAAAAGTGAAATATCAAACAAAATTTCATTGTAAACTTAAAAAAAAAAACTATTACGCAGCTCAGCCAATAAAGGGGTCATTGACGCGGCAGCGGTGACACAGTACTCCGCTGTTGTTGCGTCCGGAAAAGGCTTATCAGCAGACAGCTTCCGGAGTGCTCAGTGATTCAATAATTGGGAACGACCTGAGAATGCCAAAAATCACAAAACCCTTCATCCTTATTTCCCAAACTTTCTGGTAGAAGCACCCATGATGAAAGTCGGGGATTCAAAAACGTATCAGAATGGTCAATGACTTCTGGACGATTCAGTTCTTGCACAAAATCCCTTTCACATCTGTAAGTAGAGTCTGAACAACCTTCAAGCTTCAAAAGAAAAAAAAACATAAGTAGGAACTGATTCTTAAATACCTGCCAACCAAACGTTTTAACCGGCATTCAGAAACGCTCAAAACTAGTCAGCCGGTAAGTTGAGGTATGGTTACTGTTAATGTGTGCCAATACTTCTTCATCCTTTCGCAACTAACATATAAAGTTTACCTTTTACCAAAGACTAGACAAGACAGTCTCAAATGGAATTTTGACCTGAAAATTGGAAGAACCAATATTTTTCTAGTCAAATGAGTTAATCCATTGAAGAGGAAGGAAGAAGTTAACTGCTGGACACGGATTTGAAACTCTGAGCACTCATTGCGTGATGAATGTCGAACTTCAGTCTACTGACATTTTATCACTATTCGATCATCTGCTAAAAAGTACACCTAATAAGCCTACAAGAGTTACTGCAACAGATAGAAACAAAAATGTTACGCGTCAAATGAGACGTTTAAAATTTTGATGGCAGTTTTACTGTCACCTTTTAACGGGAAGTAGAAAAGTCTTCTGCGCACAAAAAACTATGAAAAAAACCTTTTACACCAATTCAATTAGATCTGGCAAAGTTCAATAATAAAGAGAGTGAGATCAGAACTGTCGACATCAACATCAGAATCAAATTTATCTCGGCCAAACAAACTGAGTTTCCAAGCGCAAATCTTTTGCGCAGAGAAATTTGAACGTGAAGTTGGCTGGTTTCCAACAGTTCTTAGAAACTCGGCTTCCACAGCTGACGTTACTATGTTTCAGTGGTACTGCGGACCGGAAGATGTCGAGAGGGTTAGTTTGTCTTTATCCCGTCTTCTTTTCTGGACTAAAATTTTTTTCGCCCTGTCTATTAGCCGTCTTCTCCCCTGCAGGGTTGACAGTATGTTTCCGATGGCACTTTGCAATTTAGGTTCTTCATCCTGTCAAATTTTTAAGGCAATGAAAAAACCTCTGAAGCTTAAAAATCTGTGCTAAAAATGGCTTTCTGATTGAACATTCTACGAACTTACGTTAGTGTTACGTAAAATTGAATGAACAAGTTGCAGTACATGTTATCTATGTAATGAAATTATACTGTGCTTCGAATTTTTATTTTGTTCAACAGTTTTAGGCATAAATAATTAGTGTTAAGCAGATATATTGTTCATAAAATGTAAATTGACAAGGGGATTTTGGAAAAGAAGGTTCTCAAAAGAAGAAAAATTTTTTCTTATTTTTGTTATTTCTGTGGTTCTATTGATTATCAGCCTTATTGATTTTGAAGGTTTGCAACGCTAGATTCGTTAAAAAAGAAAGGTGCTAGTGGTCGTGAAAATTCACCAGATGATGAGGACAATCAACAGAGACTTTATGTTGGAGGAGGAGAGCATAGGTTTATTTTGTGTAACAGTATGCGTTAGTGGCTAGACGACAATTATTATTTTTTTGGCATTGGCATTTCAAAACTCTAAAAGTCATATTAATTATAAAGAAAGTATTTTTAGCGGACAACAAGTACTTGGTGGAAGTGATGAACGAAGTAATATCATTGCAAGCGTTATACGTGCAGCCCAAATGCAAGGAGCTCGATTAGTTTCTGCAGATGATGAAGCGCATAGTAGTAGTCACAGTGTTCAGTCTTCATCAGAGACAGGTTATCGTCTAGGAGATTCAGTTTGTCCTTCGGAACCAGTTAGGTTCCCAGCACGGGAAGATGATGATGACGAAGAAGGCCAATTGGTAAAGACAAATTTCTGTGACTGTATTCTGTCTGTGATGTATTGAGGTAATTTTTTTTATCATCGAAGCTTTTAGCAACGTGTGATCTTGCGAATGTGGAAAAACGGTTTTACTTTGGATGATGGAGAACTTCGAACTTATGAAGACCCTGCAAATGCTGCTTTCTTGAAAGACATTATTCGCGGGTAGAAATCTTTAATTTTTGCGCCAAATTGTAAAGTAGTTACTCATATTCAGTGGAAATGAGAGTTTTTTAAATTATTTGTCAATCTTTTCGCGTTTAGAGTTACTCCTCGTGAATTGTTGCATGCGTGTCATGGGAAAAAGATCGATTTACAAATTGAGCGGAAAGATACTCCTTACAGTCCTCCGAAAGTAGCTGCTAAGCCTTTTTGTGGGGAGGGCAAGAGGCTAGGAGAGATCGAAGCTGTTGTAAGCGGTAGTGGTAAAGTTGGAGTAAAATACGGACAAGAGTCTCCGCAGTCTAGCAGTAGAACCGGAAAGATATCAGGTTACTCATGACAGTTGGTTTCTTAGCTTTTTTTTTTTTTTTTTAATTTTGTTTTGTTTATTATTCTACTGCAGCATTCTGTCTCCTTGTAGTTAAAGAAGGGATTGGTTAAAATTTTTTGGCGTTTCCTAGAAGAAAGCTCGAGACTGGCATATAAAAATGTTTTACTCTGGAGTGTGAGATATGTAGATAATAAAAACATTCGCCTTTTCAGGCAGTTGACTCAGTTTCCCCATCGACGTTTTTATCAGTTGAATTACGGCTATGTTTTGAATTTAAATGAACTTTTTTAGATGAAAATGTTCACAAAGCTCAAGAGGAAATTCATTTACGAGAAGGTGAACCGGCAACACAGATACAACTGCGTCTTCCTGACGGACAGAGATTATTGGGACGTTTCAATCACTCTCATACACTCGAAGACGTTCGCTCATTTCTTGTAAGGTGTGTGAATTTACCGCTTGTTTTGGACATCGTTTTCAATAATCAGCAGTGTAGCAATCATTTTGATTTTTAATTTTTTACAGTGCTGTCCCGGACTTGGCGTTTAAGCCATTTAATTTCATGATGACATACCCGAAGAAGGTTATCGAAACGGAAAACATTACATTGAGTGATGGTGGCTTGTTGAATTCACTTATTCTTATCAATTTTGTTTGAAGCTAGTATCTAAAAGGTTCTGCGAGCTTGTAAAAAACTTTTTGATGGGAAAATTGTCACTGATTCTGTTTTCTTATTGCTCTGAAAAAAAAAAATGTGTTTAGCAAGCTTTGCATTGAATTGTGCTATCAACTGGAACAATAGCTGTTTTATGAATCTTGTTGTCTGATCCCTTTTTGTTCTTCCTGTCTGGTATTATTAGTTTTTATAATATATGGTTAAATAAATTTTTAATTATAATGATGGTTTTGGTACTCATGGTGTGATATTCGCAAACGAGCAATACTATAAAATTTTAGGAAATAGTATTTTGGGCCTAAAATAAATTTTCTCACAAATTCAACGGTTTGGAATCGTTTTGGTGATTCTAGTCATGGAAGGTTTCGCAAAGCTTTAAAAAAGTTTTATCGACGACTTGAAATTATGTTTTTTTAAGTGTTACCTGGTTGCCAATTTCATTAAGTAACTCTTTTGGGAAGGGTAGTACCCCGAAACGTTTGCACATTCTGGCTACATCAGTGAGTGCTAAGTGTGTCGCAAGGGTTTGTGGAAGGACCTGGAACTGTGCAAGCAAACTGTTTATTTGATATTTAGGTGTCAAGATGAGTTTAATGAAGCTTACCGGGTTTGACAAAGTCGTGAAGTTCTGGAACATGATAAAGCAGATAGGTGGCTTTTCCGCTGCGATGCGACAACGCTATGTGTAAGCATTACTTCTCTTAAAACTTGTCATTATCTTATTATACTAGATTGAGGGGCAGGTTCAGCAATATTTTGCCTTTCTGTTTGTTGCAGTTGTTGCGGTGGCTGGGTAGTTTGAAATTTTATGAGTTATGTCTTTTATTTTGTGGTGTGGGACAGCTGAACTGAAAAAAAAACTGAAGTTTTCTTTGGAAAGAAAAATAAGGGTTGAATCAGAGGTGAACTTTCAGAATGTTCCACTTTATTTTTATCAAAAAGTAATTAGCTGGTTGGTGACTTATTGCTCTTAAAACTATGATGATAAATTACTAAACAGTCGTTACACTTCCCCCAAAGTTGCAAAACGAGATGTAGTAAAGTGTGAAATGTTATCAGTCTTAGAGGTTGACCAAATGTATTCAACCAAATATTAGAACTTTGAAAACTGTTAGGCATGAAGTTGGTATTTATTTGGTGGAATTATAAGGACTTATTTTGGTACCAAGTTCGGACTGTTGGGGTTTTATATATTGCAAAGTAAAGTTCAAGAAGAGTGTGGAAGTAGCTCAAGATGTTAAATATTTATTTTAAGCAGCTGAATAGTTGTTTGCACCTTACTGAAGTTTAAATTACAGGTTGGTGCAGAATACTGATTTTGATTCCAAAAAAGCATGAGGCAGGAAGTATATCTCAGACGCATATTTTTTATGCGGGTGTTTAACTAACAAGTTTAGGTCTTTGTGCATACACAAATACAATTATAAAATTTTGACTCGTGCTGGATTTTTTATTGTCGAGAAATTTAGGCGATAATCCAATTCCAGCAATGTGTTGACCAACATTTCATGAGGGGCGGATGTTGTAACGTCAGTAATTTTGCTTTGTAATGCCTTGATTTCTTTTAATGGCGATGCTTACTTTACTTTGTTTCTGTTTCTTGTAAAGCCACTTCTACCAAATATTCATTCTTTATGAAGTGTTGACCAACCCGTAGTGAAACTGAAATATTTTTCGGATATACTTCGGGAAAGGAAAAGAGCACATTGAGGAGTATATTAATTGTTTGTGTACGTGTGCACAGGAAATTAACATTTCACTATTAAATTGAACGATACCTCTCTGTGTATCTTGATTCCCAATTTGTGCGTGTTTTGAATTAGCGGCGGTATTCTAGGGCACCTTGTATTTACAAACTCGCAATAATTAGAGAAGAAAGCAGTTCTTGGAGACTAGTTACGTGAAAGGCGGTAGAAGAATTCGTGCGTCGGTTATGTTTTGAAAGAGGGGAGAGGAAGTTGTAGCGGAGTGGTAGTCCGGACACGTTTAGTTAATGTCGTTGGCGGTTGTTCAAATTCATTAAGATTTTTCTTCTGTAGTGGTAGAAGGTGATACCATTCAAAGGAAGTTGAAGCCCACCTTTTTTTTGGCAAAAAGCTTGCCAAATTAGTGCTGTTTTTTAAGTGGTTTGATAGAGCAGTTTGACATATTTCATTGGGTGCTATTTAAAATTACCGTTCTTGTCTCAAATCACTACTTTTACGGTTTAAATAGATCTAAATTTACGTCTTAGCAGATGTTTGATAAGAGTTTTGGTTTGTTTTTTTCCCAGAGGATGCTGTTGCTTCATTTTTATCAAGCTAATAAGCTGAATTGGTTTGTTAGTAATTTATACTAAGTGTTGAATAACGTACATTTTGGAACCTCACATTTTGAAATACAGTCATTGCTACGGGTCTTCTGTCAAATTTCTGACACTTAATTGATAATTGCGGTAAACGAAGAAAGAGTGCTTTGAACAGCTGGTTTGACCATTAAATTAACAGTTTTTATGGCTAAGTAGTTCATAAATAGTAAAAATTTTTTCATTTGGTACATATAGCTTAGTAAAGTGAAACTTTGTAGGTTAGGCATTTAAATAAATCTGTTTGTAGTCTACTACCTGTGATGGGTCGTTTTAATAGTTGACTTTTCAGTCTTGACGATACCAAGGTTGGGACTTTTATTGGCGAAGATCAGTTTGGAAACAGATACTATGAAGTAAGTTGCTTATAGCTGTTTTCTTTGGTTAATTTAATTGCAGTAATTTGGCTCTCTCAATGTCTGTTTTGCCTACTGAGTTTTTTAATATTGATTCTAAACACTTTGTACTTCAAAAAAAAAAAGTATATTATAGTTGATTTATGTAGTACTTCCGGAAGTGAGTGAAGGAAGAGTTCTTATCTTTGTTGAGTGAAATTTGTGTTTGTTGCTAAGACAAAAATTATACTAGCTTTGGAATTATTTCTTGTGAGTGATATTTTGTTTAAAATAACCAGGCTCTCTATTTTTAACTAACTTTTGCTTCGACGTTTTTCATTTTGTAAAATGTTACCTGAAACAGTCGTTCAGAATAGCAGGCTACGGATTTCATGATGGTTAGACTCATCATTTTAATGTATAATTTTCATTTTTTTAGAACAACAATTATTTTGTGCCTAGAGACCGATGGGTTGAGTATCCGTTGAGCAAATGGTTGGAGTATGATGCCACTCAGATTCCACCAGAGTGGTAAGTCTTTGTTATACTCAAGGTTGTGTGGTGTACGCAATGTGTGACGTGATTTGTTTGCCTTAAAAGTGACCGTAATCGTTTCTATTTGAGCTGTTTACTGGTCTATTTATGTAGTGCAATGTCTTTTTTAATAATAGGTACCGGTGGATTCATCATATGACTGACACCCCTCCTACAAAAAAAACAATAGAGAAGGAGAAGTATGCCATGGAGCACATTGAGAACCTAAGCCTTGAACCGTAAGTCGATTAGTTGATAAATTTTTGTTGGTTTTAGCATTATCGTGACTTTTTAAGATAAGTTTTATCATGACTGCTGAACCAGATGTTTTTTTATATGAAACTTATAGTTTTCTTTGCTTACCTTTATGTCAAATTATGTTTGATGTCCAATTTTTTCAATCGCACGAGATATTTCAGGGACAAAAAATACGTTCCATATAAAACCACGCGGGAGAAGTTACATGCGTGGTTCCCGAACAATAACTCTTAGAACAGTCCGCATTAGACACCTATAGACAAACAAAAAATCGCTCGCAATGTTGTATAATTACTACAATACTTTTTAAATTTTGGAAAAGGGGTTTTATTAGAGTTTCTGGCCTGTTTAAAAATTTGTCTTCAAAGTGCTAACGTATCGCCTGTGGAAACATAGCCAATTTAAAAGGAAATTGTAGACGCTTTTTTCCAGCGTTTGTATGTGATTTCTGGCTGCTGATTAAATATAGTTGGGTAAACTTGTACTATAAAAAGCGATTGAAAAGAGTTCTCAAGAGCTAAGATTATAGTAAGATGAAAATTGGCATTTTTTTTTTTGTTTATTGTGGTCGTTATACTTGTATAGAATTTATAATGTAATTGTCTTCCAAAAATCATTGATTAGATTTTGTTAGATTTTTTGAATAAATACAAATTCAAAACTTGTCGCATTTATATTTTGCTTTGTAGAAACTCATTTTTTTGATGGAAGATTCTTTAAATGAACCAGTTAGCGTTTAATAGTGCTTGTTCGAAACTGTGTAATTTTTAGATGCATTTTAGTGTGGTAAAGGTAGTTGGAATACAATTTTTCGCTTGGTTTCGGTTTGGTGGCCCTATCGGTTTTGTCGATTGTGATGAGACAGAGTTACATTTGTTATGGTTAGTGTGCGGTGATTTCATTGGCTGAAAAAGATGGACTACCAAGTTGAAAGGCCCTATAACTTTTTTATCTCATAGCTTTCTTAATAGTGCACTGAAATAGCGAATTACGAATGAGTGTTCTAAAATTTTTCAGATTTACCAGGTTAACAGATTATAATGGAAGGCTATCCAAAGTCACAATGGTGTTCTTACATTACAGCGTTAAGTAATTGTTTTAATCTAATACAGTGGGTATGACTAGTGGTAAACCTTTTTTAATCTTGAAAGCAGAAGTATAAAATACTGAAGCCGTACTTTTTGCTGCACTAAATTTTGTTTCTGCTTATCTTCTTTTTCACTGGTAAGTGTATTGCTTCATATTTTAGATGTACTAATCTGAAGAAGAGTCGGATTTTCGAAATGCTTTTAGGGGTTGGGGCTGATCTTGTTTCAGTTTTTTTTGCTCTGATGCAGCGCTGCATTGAAAGATTTTGTACAGAATGAAATTTCTGTTGAACCGTATTCCCAGCTTTTATTCAGGCTTATCCGTCCAGTGACGTTGCGGTCTCTGTTTTGATGTTTGACAAAAATTTGCCTTGATAATCCTTGAAGGGTAGGAGCTTTAATTGGGAATTTGAAAGTCGTAAAAAAATATCTTTGAGAGGCCACAATAAATAAGCTGGAAGTTAACAAACAATGCGGGTGTGTTTTGTTCCTTCTAAAACTGATTTCCAATTAAACATTATCAACTGGAACAGTGACAAAGTCGAAATAACTGCAACAAGAAGTAACTCTTTTTTGGTTCTTAAATTGTGCAGCTTTTACCTTCAAAACGATCAAAGCCGTTGTTGAAGAACATCATTAAGGCTAACGTTGGGGGGTGTCCTGCACTGTTTGCGTGGAAAAATATTCGACCTAAAGTTTCGTCAACAGGCTTAAACTTTTCTAACTTTTCTAAGCACCTGCTTAAATTTTGTTTATTGTCGTATTTATCTTTATTTATTTTTACCAACAAAGGTTGGCACAATGATAATATCAGTAAAAATTTGTAAGCATTATTCAATATCAACAAACTTCTTTTGTCAGCTGTTCAAAAGTTAGTGAAGACAAGGTTGTATATATTTTTTTTTTGTAAGGACTTCTTTTTTTTATTTGGACACTAAAATTTGAGCAGTTTTGATTTGATGTATGCCAAAAAAAGAAGCTTTGGAAAACAAAAATGAATGTTTTAGTAAAAATAAACAAGATAAATACCGACTGAATGTATTTGTTTTATTAGATTACAGCATAAATGTATTAAAATATTGGAGTTCAGTTTGGTACATAGCTGTTTATACTTTACAAAAAAAACTTTAAGATTACTGATTAAAATAGATTTTAATAGTAGTTTAAATATTGGAAAAAGAATACAGAAGTAATTGGCCGGTGTTTTGGTTGCAAAAAAGTCTAAATGTATTTGGTGTTACCGTTAGTTTCACGTATTTGAACTGTTTTTTTTCCGTATTCTTTTTTTGTTCTGCGCTGACCAAATGACCCAATTGGTTGACGAATGTTCAGTGTTCATAAATTCTTTCCTCCACCCAAATAAAATAATACAAAATGCTCAGTTCATCTAAGCAACATATTTTATATTTATTACTCTTTGCTATTGTTTCTGCGCAAAACTTTACAAAAGTTTCACGTTTTAAACGTGACTTTATGTATGTATCAAATGACAATTCAACAGATGCCAATTGCTTTCAGGTTGGTTTTTGTTGGTTATTTGTTTTACTGTTATTAACCAATTTACACTAGAAATAGAACTCTTTTTTTTTTCTTTTCTCTGTCCTGTTTCTTTTTTTTTTTTCGTTTTTTTCCTTTTTGTAATTAATTTGTTTGTTTAAAAGGAGAGAGAAAGAGATTTGTTTTTTTTTTCTTGTCGTTACAAGAACTGTTTTTTTTTCTTTTTTGAACGATGACAGTTTTACTGTAAATGGTACAAAACAATTAGTAAATGTGGTTAAATTTACTCGGAAATTAGGCAAGTTGAAGGGACAAAACAAAGAAAAAAAAAAAGGAAAAGTTAAAAAAGCTGATTTCTGGAGAACAATTTATTCATTTACAATCTTTTTTTTTTCATCTTTTCTTTTTTACAACTGCAACTCTTTTTTGTGGTTTTTTTTGACAGTTTATCTGTTGGTTTTTTGATTGCTGTGGTACCGTTAATACGTCAATACTGTGAAAATTGATTGCTTTCACGACCCGTAGAAAAAATTTATCAATGAACATCTAAGATTTGTCTATCAGTTTTTCGTTCATTTCATTTCCAAAACAATTCACCGTTTCCAGCAATCATACTTTCTTTTATTGAAGCATTTAACAGTTTATTGAAATCTAATAGACAACTGTATAAAATAATTAGTGGAAGAACTTTTTTTACATTATAGTTTTTAAGCAGTCCTGTAAAATAGCGAAAATAAAGTGCTAACAATTTTGGGGTCGTTTTTGTCTTTGAATAGAAAAAATTTGTGGAAAAAAAATTTTGATGATAAAATTAAAAGGTGAAAGATTAACGGTTACCAACAAAGATCTAAATTTATGTTCTGAGAATTAAAAAAAAAATTTTTTGAAGAAAAATTTTTTGTTCTCATCTTTTTCTGTTATTATCGTTCTTCACATTGTTTTCATTTTCATTTTCGTTGTTCTGCAAAACAAAAAAAAAGGAAAGGGAAGAATTTTCCAAACATAATTTTAATAAGCAAAAATATTTTAAGGTAGGTTTTTTTTCTACTATATTTTTACTGTAAAACTATTTGTCAGTGATATTATTAAGGATTAGTTCTATTAATTTATCAAACTTTTTTTTTTCGCTTATACTATAACATCAGCTGGAGAGCTGCTCAAAAAAAAAAAGAAGTGGTACCTTGATTGAAAGCTTTAATTGATATTCGATATGATTAGTTGATTAGCTGCCATCAGTTTACCTATTATAAACTGTTGTCTAAAGTTGATTTAGTAAGTCTAAATTTTTGGTATAGCAGTTGTTGGTTAAGCAAAAAAATACATTTTTTTTTT